GGTAAATTTAATAGTAGGATGATGGTGTTTTGGACACCTGGTCGCGAAGAAATTCTTCAATTTCTTCTTGATGGCTTCCTTTTGCCTTTTCACGCCATGAGAAATGGATGTCAGGGCATGTTGCACGAATTTTGTACAAAGACACTCAAGCGCTTGGCTCATTCATCCCCATGACGATAAGGTGTGTGACTAAAATTAAGGGTTATTAATTTTTTTCTTTTACTGACTGATATGAATAATAATGACGGTCAGAGGGTCATTATTTTCAACCCTGATGATGGCAAACAGCCAAAAACGTTTGGTTCCAACATTTTAATCTTTAATTGTTTCCAAATCTTTTAGCCTTGTATAGAATATATAATTAGAGAATAATTAACACAAAATTAATGAAAGCTTTGTGCATGGGTACAAACAATTTTGGTCAGCTTCTTACTATTATATCTATCAGCCAACATTTTGGAAATGTAAATCAATCAGTAATAACTAAGTTTGAAAACAGTTACCTGAACCAATATTTTCTGTCCCACCAGTCCAATCTGACGATGTGTCCAAGAAGGAGTAGTCTCCCACCTCACTTGAATGGCCATGTTGATAAACAGCACGCCTTGTTGCAGGGTCAATATGGCAGGCTTCAGCATCTTGATGTGACACTGACTGGACTGGATGGGGATGGACAGAAGAGAGGGCATCAGCTGTAGTTTCTTCTGATCGACTTTTACTTTTTTTTCGAAATCTAAACATGATAGCCAGCAATACGATAACTAACGTTATTCCACCTAATATGTAAATAGTAGTCTGCCTCTTCCAGTTTGAATAACTGCCTAATGGTGGCAATCTGTTAGTAGTGTTTGGGTCTTCCGTTGACTTTGATTCTCCATTTAATATAATGCTGGAACCAGCCTGAACCATGGAGCTAGTGGCAGAAATTACCAAATTTGTGGTGGTGGCAATAATCTCGGAACGAGAGGTGACTGTTCCAGATGCAAAAATCACATAGCTTGTTTGTGAGCTTTCCCGAGGTTGCTGTTTGATTTCAACACAATGAATATCTGTCTCATAAGGAACAGTGGTCTCACAAGGTACAGACGAAGTTGAATATCCTTCAATGCATTCAGGACAAGGGAAACAACTGTGGCATTTGCCTGCGGTATCAATTCTTTTTATCTCGCCCGTACAATCTGGGCATTGAGCTGATGCCACTCTCTCAGGGACCTTGCGATAAAAAATGAAAAATACACCATAACACAGTCAGGTGCGCGAGGTACAGTTACTATGTTTATCATAATTAATACATCACAACCACAACGACTGAGAAGGTGCAAATTAAATCTTTCTCTTAATTTCCGAAATTCAAGCTTACATCATTAACTCTTTCCTTAAACAATTAAATGCAGACTAAATAAGATAGCAGCATCATAGAATATCTACTAAATATACAGACGTTAGTGATAAAATATTTCAGCAGCATAAATTTATGTAAAAGGACACAACAGTTTTGATTATCACATTTCACATAACAACTTTGAACCCCGATCGACAGATTTCGCAAATCGTCACAATAAAATTTTTACCACAACACAGACGAAATATCCGAGGGAAATAGAATGAATTTACGTAAGAAAACAATACGAACCCATAGGATGCATAAAATCTAAGGCTGGCAAAAGTACATGTAAAGCACTCGGAGAGTTGTCTCCCTTCGCAAAGGTTCGCCATTTTATCTTTTGAAATCGAGGTGGTGGTTCTATAATTTCTGCCCGAAACCATGATCTGTCACCCGACGATGTTGATGGAACTCATGCATCTGTAACTTTTTTGTCGGCCGATAACGTTATCCTAATTAGGATTAAGAGCTACATGCTCGCATACTTAACCTTCACTGGGACTTACTCACGACAGAAGAGTCTGTAATTGGTATTACTCCTGACTATCAAATTACAAATAAAAAAAGGTTTTGACATGGGTATCTAAGTANAAAAACACAAAGATTTTCTGGCACCAATCAGATGCCAGAACGACTGCGACCGTTTGGAACTAGTCTTGTAAGACAATGTCCCCAGGGGCTCTTCTGCCCTTAACTTGAAATCGACTCACAGCCCCTGGGTCTCTGAGGATGCACTGTTCATTATTCACTAGACCTAAGTGCGAGTCTAGAGGGGAGGAAAGTGAAGACGTAGTTAGTTCGTATTTCACATGACTTGTAACTTGACCCCTTGTTGTTGATTATTAAAAATTCTGTGGTGTTTGGACAAACTGTTTTGCTGGTTATTACAGCCCACTATAAATATCGCACTATTTATTTTACCGGTATATTAGTTATTTAAATTTATACTTTTGATTCAATTTATAGTTTGTCCAACAGCATTTTAACATGACAATTTTAACCCTTACACAAAGCTCCAATAATTATCCACTTGATAGCTTCAAAAAGTAGATAATGATATGTCGTGACTTTCCTTCAGGATTTTTTAATAAAAATAACTGTCCGTTTCAAACACGAATGTCTCAAGAAAAAACAATTTTTTTTTGCCGTCTTTCTCCAGGGTGGAGTAGTTCCTTTCAGCTTCCTGTAGGGTTCTGGAAACACATCCAATGGGTCGTTCAGTTCCATTTTCCATCTTGTGAGGTTAGACTGTACCCACTTCATAATTGGAAGCATCTGTTTCAAGAACCAGTTCCTTTTTGGGGTCAAAATGTACAGGTAGACCAGCAGACTGAAGTAACTCTTTGGCTTTATCGAAAGCTTTTTGCTGTTCTTCCAGCCACTTCCCCTTAGCCTCCTTCTTCAAGAGCTGGTGCAGGGGCTCCAACACAGTAGCTACATCAGGTAAGAAACGGTGGTAGTAGTTGAGCATACCTAAGAATGCTCGTAACTGACTAGCATTCTATGGTTCTGGGGCATTCTTCTAAGATGTCATCAACTCGCACAATCACGTGAGGTATCCCTTGAAGTAAGTTCTCCATTGTGCGCTGAAATATTCCTGGTGCCAAAGAACAGTCTATTAAACTGGTTAAGTCCCTTATTGTTGTGAACTTTTTGGAATCTCCATCCAGTTCCAGCAGCTGATAGGCCTAGGACATATCCAGCTTCGTGAACCTGCTCCCACTCTTAAGTGTTGCAAGTAAATCCTCGGTCTTCAGTCGGAATTGGGTAATTGTCTAACTCAGACACCTGATTTACTGTACACTTGTAATCTCCACAAACGCGTGCTGTTCCGTACTGCTTCACTTCAGGAACTATAGGTGCCGTCCACTCAGAAAATTCGACTGGAGATAATATGCCTTCACTTTGCAACCGATCCAACTCCATTTCAACTTTTGCTTTGAGTGCGTATGGGACCGGTCGAACCTTCATGAACTTGGCTGTAGCCTCAGGGTCAACATAGATTTTTCAGTCCTTTGCTAAACACATCCTTGTCTTCTCCCAGGAATTTCTGTAGCTGAGGGTTGTTCTCTTGGATGCTGAAAATATTTTGCCAGTTGAGCTTGACCGCCTAGAGCCAGTCTCTACCGAGGAGTTTGGGACCAGGACCCTTCACTACAATGGCTAGCAAATTGTACTGCTGATCTTGATACTAGCCCTTAACTAGAACAATCACCTCCCCAGTCACAGAAATTCGCTCACCAGTATATGTGCTTAACAATGATCCTTTTTAACATCTGAGGTCCACCTTGTCACGCAGCCTGTTGTACGTCCCTTCACTGGAACATCATTCTAGTCGCACCAGAGTCTCACCAGTGTCAATCTCGAATTTGCAGGTTTCCTTACAAATTTCTAAGGAAACTTCAGATGGCTCAGGTTTGTTTTCCCCAGGAATGTGGTACATTGTCGCGACGTAAACATCTTCTTCATTGGACATTTCCTCGACTGAATGTGTTGGCTGTTTCTTTTTCTTTTCTCCAGGCCTGCCACTTCGTGGTTGCCATTTTCCCGTTTTGCGAACTCGGTGGTTCCTCTGCTTATCTTGCCTGAGCTGGAAGTACGACACGTTTTAGCTAAATGGCCTCATTTCCTGGACTGAAAACGCTGCACTTCTCTAAAACGACAGGCGGACGCTTCATGTTTCTCCCCACAGCGATAAAATTCGGCATTTAAAGCCTTCTTGCCTTTTGTCCTCGACGCCCACCACGTGTTTTGAAGCTAATATTCCATCGCTAGGGCAATCTCATCGGCTTTTGTGAGCGGTCAAATCCAGCTCGGTTAGCTATCGCTGCTGAATTTTTCCGTTATTAATACCACATACTAAACGATCTGAAAGCATTTCTGGCAGTGATTTGCCGTAGTTACAATGTTCCGAGAGCTTACGTAATGCTGCCACATACGTCGCCACTCCTTTGCCTTCTTTGCGATTACAGCTGTAGAATTTAAAACGCTCCACAATCTCGCTGGGTCTCAGT